CCCTAGGAGCTTGGTTTGGTGGCAGGGGAGGTTCCTTCTGGGTGCTGAGACCAGCTTACCTTTTCTTCCCTAGGAGCCTGGGATGGCAGTGAGGGAGCTTCCTTCCAGGTCCTGGGTCTGGCTGAGCTTCTCTCTCCTAGGAGCCTTCTGGAAACCATAGCTACTGCTTAGGATCCCCATACCTGCAAACTCCCAAATCGTTGAACGCCCTGGATGTCCTACCTTGAATTTAAATATTTAGCATCTGTCATATTGGCAAACAACTTAAAAGATATTTACAAATTCTTTGAGGTAGAATTATTTAAGATGAATTTAACTTACATTTAAAGTAAATAAACATGCAAAATAGATGCATATATCACTGATGACAACAAATAGCTAGAAAAAATTTGATAATAAGTAGAAATGTGCACCAAATAATGTAAAAAATAAAGGAGAAATACCTTATAGGAATAAAATGGTAAATAGGCAACTACGTAACTAAATTATAATAATACATTATTTGACACACAAGGAAAAGAACAGCTAACAAATGCTTACTAATGATGTGAAATCCATGTTGTAAAATATAATTTTTTACTATATCAAAATATGAAATAATGTTATAAATAAGGTGAATGACAATATGAGAAATTCAGTTTGGATATTTTATCACAAAGTATAAAATAAGATGTTAAATTGAAGAGGTTGAAATTTTAAAGACATGAATCACATTGTATGTTCATTACATTCTCAAAGGTGTTTATAAAATATTTAAAAGGGTTAAAAAATATTTTGAAGGAAAATTGCACTTTAGAATAACAAATAATAATTAAATTGTATTTCACAGTAGAACGAGGAACTGTTCTATTTATGCAACTCCCTTGCTTTCAGAGTGAAAATCAGTTCTGTAACTCAATAACCCTTTATCAGTAGCAAAGACAGCTGCCATGATAACTTGATTCACAGGATGCTCTTCATCACAATTCATAATTCTGTTTTCTTGTGATAATCCTTACTCTTTCCAGGAGTTTATATGATGGTTTTGCAAGTTCCACATGGCTGATTTAACATCTTCATTCCTCAAAGAGTAGATAATGGGATTCAACAAGGGTGTACAAACAGTGTAGAAGACAGAAAGGAACTTATCCACAGAAAACCTGCTAAAAGGCCATATATAGAAATAAATACAAGGCCCAAAGAAAAGAATGACCACCGTGATATGGGCAGTTAATGTAGAAAGTGCCTTAGATGACCCCCTGGAGGACTGGTGTTGAACTGTGATCAAAATGACAGTATAGGAAATAAGTAAAGCCAGGAAACAGCTCAATGATATCAGGCCACTGTTAGTTAGAGTTATAATTTCCATCCCATATGTATCCATACAAGCTAACTTTATCACTAGGGGAAGGTCACAGAAGAAGCTATCTACCTCGTTGGGACCACAAAATGGCAGATTCACTGTAAAAGCCAAGTGGCTCACAGAGTGAAGAATACCCACTGCCCAGGAAATAGACACAAAAATTATACAAAGCCTCCGGTTCATGATTGTGCTATAGTGCAGGGGCTTACATATAGCTATAAATCTGTCATATGCCATAGCTACAAGTAGCATCATCTCACTCCCAACAAAACTATGAAGAAGGAATATTTGGGTCATGCAGCCCCCAAAGGAGATAGTCTTGTGTTCTACAAAAAAGTCCACAAGCATCTTGGGAGTAGCAAAGTTAGACTGGCAAATATCAATGAAAGAAAGGTTACTGAGCAGGAAGTACATAGGAGAGTTCAAATGGGAGTCACAGAAAATTATGACAATAATCATGACATTTCCCAATATTGATGTCACATAAACTATAGAGAAGATGGCAAAAAAGAAAAGCTGAAGTTCCTGAGAATTAGAGAGTCCCAAAAGCACAAACTCAGACACCATTGATTCATTAGTGTGAGACATGAATCCAATCCACAGTTGCCTAAATAAAAGAAATAAGGGAAATATCACCACAACTGACATAAAAATATACCTGTTTCATTAGCAAAATAAATATGATCATCTCTTAATTAAATTTAATTTGATGAAATATATATAAAAATCAATGTGGTCTTATTTAATCTCCATGATTGCTAAAAATATTGGAGGACTGTGAGAAAAATAATCAGACATGAAACCTATCATAATTGGGAATATATACCTATTAAAAACACAATTTAAACTTAAAAATAGGCAAATATAAATGAGTGATACATTAATACCATAAATACTTGTAGAATGGAAGATCCCAAAGTAATACCAAATTTTGGGTTAAATAACAACATCTAAAGTTTTAAAAAATATTTAGTGTTTGAAATTTGCAGCCAAAAAAATTAAAGACAAGGTTATTACTGAAACCTGAATATGAGTAACAAAGATACAAAGGTAAACCAGGACACACATTCAGGAACGTATAAATTGCATAGTCTGGTTAGGGAGAGGCCAGGATACCAAACAAGAAAAGTTAAATTGGTAATGTCTGCTCAGAGCAAATTGTGAATCCAAAAGGCTTATATGCAAAGCCAAAAGGATTACATTAATGTTCTTCAAATTAGAATCATAAAGCATTTGATAGTATTATAAGAAGTTTGGTAGGGACAATTTGCTATATTACGGAAAAGAGTTGAGAGTGACACTTTTGCAGTTTAATTGAAGGCTTTTGAAGGTCAAGGACACTTCCTTTTTAAAAATGATTAATAAAAATTCACCTTTGCCAAATAAAGGCCTATCAATTATAAATGTACAAATGACACCAATTAGTCTTTTTCTTTGTCTTTTCCCTCTATACATGTTTGACTCAGTTCTCCAAAGAGAAAATTTTTCAAAAGAGAAAAGCTAAGCAATCTGTCAGTTGTCTCTTAAATTTCTTTGACATTTGGGTCCCTTATGGTCATTTGGTCTCAGAGGAAAACTAGTCTTCTGGAAATGCCTTAGGAAAGATTTTAGTTTTAGCTCTGTGTACTTATTTGTTATGTACTGATTGATGTTCTGTATTTTATACATTCATTTGTTGGAACCAAGTTATTTAGATTTAACTAAATTATAGTCTTAGAAGTGAAAATTAAATCACTAACTGTAAACCAACTGTTATTTAAACTGTTCACAAGTATTCATTATGTAATTTTACTCTGGATACTTAAAAACAGAATGCTATTTTTGGGGGACTTCCATCTTTGCATTACTTTGTGGTAGCAACTTTTTAAAAAGAATTGAAAGAGCAGGCATGGTGGCACAAGCCCATAATCCCAGCTGCTTCATAAGGTGAGGAGGGAGAATCTCAACTTCAAGGCTGGCCTAAACAACTTACCAAGATCATATCTCAAAGTCAGAAAATAATTTAAAGGGCTAGGGATGCAGCACAGTGGTAGA